ATTTTATTTATTCCCATACTTTGTCCATGAAGAAAACTAAATAATATACGTGAATGATAATTTCACATATAATGTGCATTTATTTCACAAAAGTAACAACAAATTTTGTTTGGGGCGGGAGAAAAAGGCCTTTTTAATTATTTAATGGAGTTTAATTTGAATCATGATTATCATCTTTTTTGTTAGGGGTGAAGAAATTATTTCGACATTTTAGGGCTTGTTTGGATTGACTTATAAGTAACTTTTCAAACGTGATTTACGGAATATGAGGTAAGTATGTGAGTAGAGTTTTGTCTCGACTTACATAAACTTGCTTAAAAGCCCGTTTTGAACGGAGCTCCAAACAAGCCCTTAGTGTGCACATCATTTTATTCTGACAGGGGCTCCTCTTTCGTGGGGTGCCGCGGTAACTTAAACCATGCACACCATCACATGATCAAATACGTGCGTATTTTTTATTATTATATTATTTAATTATACGCAGAACTAAACTGAGAGAATAAGAGGTGTCGCGGGGGAAAGAGAAGAGGAGAGATCAAAAAGGAATGAGAGTTGATAATGATAACGATGAATTGATGATAATAATAATAACAATAATAATAATAGGAAGGAATGGAGAGTAAAAGCAAGAAGGGAATGGCCCACTTGAACATGTGGCTGGCCGTGAAAGGAGGACCAGCATGACGTTGGCACGTCTGCCTTGTAAGGATGCCTCCCATCCTCTGGGTCCCACCACTCTTTTTTTTTTCCTTTTTTTTTTTGGGTGACCATAAAAATCAGGTACATCCATGGCAAAATAGGATCCTCAGACCTAAATATCGGCAGCACCCAGACCGTAGAAACAATCCTACGTCCCGGATACTCACCGTAGGCGATCCGCTCCCTGCGCCAGGCCAAAATATACAGGACACAGAAGAAGTAGAAAGTAGAAACCCGGTATTTAAAAAATAAAATAATATATACATAAGAGGGAAAAAAAAACAAAGGACAAAGACGAGGACTGTTATTTCTCATTATTTTGTCTTCCCCATTGTTTTTTAAATTGTTGATCGACTCAGGTTGAAATTTGTTTGATCTAAAATCCAAATGATTTTTCTTATGCCCTCAAGTCTTTATTTTGAATTTTATACACTTCTGCTCACTAAAATTGAACTGCTCCCTCCTGTACTTATTATAACGTCCCAACTAATTTTTACATATTAAGAAATAGTAAGTAAAGTATTAAATTTATCATAAATTGATAAATTTTTTTTAAGTTTACCTCAATTTAATTTGATGAGCTCATATTTTTATGACCAAAAATTGCTGCCAAGAGATGCCCTATAATAAGAACAAGAGGGGATAAAAATTAATTAGTGTCGTATGATTTGTTTTTACATAGAATCTTATAAAGATTCGTTTGATGAAATTTATTTAAATAATATCCAAAAGTTGGTTTCAAAATGCTCAAATATGAAATAAGTTAAATATCAAAAGCCAAAAATCAGAAAAAATGGTTAACTTTAATGTCATTTTTGAATGAATGCCAAACATAATTTTTAGTCCCACCTTACTTTTAAGGGTGCAAAAGTTTAATTTTGAGCTTCCCAGATGGCTTATACTCATCTAACATGTGCATGGCTCGAGTCCACACTTGCTTCTTGGAATTAGGTAAATGTGAATTATTTTGTAGATGTCCGTTGAGTCCGAACACTTCCTCCGTCTCAGATTGGGGCGCCATCACCTCAGCCTAAAAAATTTCATAACCAAAAAGAAAAACAACACAAAAGATGATGTTATTCTTTTTTTTTTTTTACCAGAAAAAAGATGATGTTATTCAATCTCCGCTAGTTATTATGTGATCTTACTAATTTTGACATGACAACTTTTAATGTTGATTTAACATATTCCTTAATGCAGCAATAATTTCTGTGTTATAATATGTTAATAATAATTTTAAGGCTAATAATGGAGATGATCAGGATGTGTTGTGTGAATCGGTATGCAGGCTTCAAATTAAACACTCAAATAATGTAACATTTTAAAAATATGAGTATAATGTGGTGGAATTGGTAATATTGCAACAATGCTTGAGAATTTTTATTAGTTTTAATGAATTAAATAATTAGACTGTGATTTCATAACAACTAGGAAGTAGGAACAAGCCTTCCTGCACAGCAACATATTAAAGTATAATGGCAAACCCCCCAAAAAAAAGAAGAAGTCTAATGGCGCGGCTTTGAATTGACCCAGACTCTATTGAAAATTGAAATGGCTCTCGACGATTTCCCCCCTGAAAAAGCAGTTTCCAATAATTAAAAATTGGTCGTTACTCTCTAGAGATCACACACTGACTAATAAAAATTAATTATTAAATAATTAATTTTTTTAGCAAGTCAACAAATCTTTTTATTAAGAAATATATTTTAGAATTCGGGAATCAAACTCCATAAAATCCTGCACAGCATCTGAGGAATGAACCAGAATCTTCGCAGGAATCTTCATATAAAAGAAGCTATAAGCCAACGGTTTTCCCTTTCTCCAATGATTAATTGGGGTGTGTTTGGATGAAACCAAACCGTAGTTTGAAAAAGTGATTTTGGAGAATAAATTCTGGGAAAAATAGATTCTGTGAAGAATAGATTTTGTAAAAAAGTGATTCTGAGAAGTGAGAATGTTTGGATAGTTGTTATCAGAAGCACCTTTTATATATACAAATTACTAAAAAAAAGATATAAGTTAATATGATAATTACAGAAAAAATAGATTTTATGATATATTTTAATCTGAAGAAATAAAATTGTTAATAATATGTTTTCTACCAACATAATTAATAATACATAAGATAATATAATTAATAAATAATTAATGTGTATATATATTTATAAAATATAAGATTAAATATATTTATAAAAAATATGTTTATAAAAAAAATAACAAGATACATATCATATAGGCCCTTACACTCTCCCTTTTTTCTCCAAAAGCAAAAAAATTTTGCTTTTTCCAAAACTATAGTTTTGGTTTTTGGAGGGGGTGTTTGGGTGATTTATTCCCCAAACCATGGTTGGGGTGTCACCCAAACACACCCTTGATCGCAGATGAGAGCAGAGCCAAAATTCTAACGGCTCTCACAGCGAGGGCAAAAAACAGTCTAGTTATGAGATCGTTACGTATATTTTACAATTTTTGAACCAAAAAATGTTAGTACTTTTTATTACAGTAAAAAGAATATGTAAAAGAAATTTTAACATTTAACTGCATCCCAACAAAGTCTGTCACGTGTTTGAACCTCAAATTGTCATCTGCCTGGCATTAGGTGGCTTCCATGTGGACTGGAAGAAACAGACATTTGCCCAGACACGAAGCACGAAATGGCAATGAATCAAAAAGAGACCCAGAAATTGTGGCGCCAATGAGTTTGGACAATTATCCATAATTGGCGATTTGGCACGTTGGTCCAATATCCGTCACATTTTTTTCTGGGTAATACATACATGAGCCCCTGATGATAATCTGTTTACCAACAAACTAAATGTTGGATATTATCTGTTTACCGCATTAAGAAATTCTCATTATTTAACTTACACAGGCAACACAATAACTATGGCTCCGTGTGGCAGAACAGTAAAAATATCTTATAAGCACATTTCACGTAAATTGAGACAAAACTCATCTCACATACTTTTCTCATATTCCGTAAATCACTATTGAAAAGCTACTTATAAGCTATTCCAAACGGGTTCTATAATTGGAGATTTCGCAAACCTTTTTTTTTTTTTTTAAATGTGGGGTAAGGTTTTGGGAGAATGAATATGAATAATTATTGCCCGCCGTTTAAATTACATCAATAATTTGCTTTTGGTCACCCCTTAGGAGCGAACAAAACCCATAACATCCATAATAAGAGGCATTGCGTGTGAGTTTTAAACAATATCGATCGCGTCTTATAATTATACGCTACATATATTAATTATCGACGATTAATCAGATGAATTCTGAATCTTACCTTCAACTTTACCCTCTACACTAAAATGACTAAGAGTGATAATGAATAATGAAAATCACATGCGACAAGACTTGATTAAAAAATTAAACTTAATAAACAAAAGTAAATGTACCCAGGTTTTGTCCTTTTCCCCCCATTATATATGAACCTAATGAGTTAATACAAATTTTGGTCTTTTGACTTTGTTTTTATTTTAATTTTAGTCCCTCAAATTTCAATTTTTAGATTTTGATCTCTTAAGTGTTTTTTTTTCATTTATAACATTAATCCCTATAATCTAACAAAAACTTATACCATTCTGTTTCTTGAAGGACTAAAACTTATGGTTTAAAATTTGAGAAATCAAAACTAAAATAAAAACAAACTTAAATGATCAGAGATTATATTAATACAAACCTAATTTTACAAATCATACAGTAGTAGGGTACTCCTGTCTTTAACCATAAAAGTGTTTTTTTTTGGGTGAGTTTGACTTGCAAATTTCTTTTTTATGAAACCCATTTCTAATTTATCCTCTACATTGTCTATTTTTTGACAGAAATATTCTCACCAACGGGGGTGTTCTCGAGTTAATTAATTAGGGAAGAGAGATATAAAATATTGACGAGTCAATTACTTTTAGTTCAAATAATTACATCTCTGGATGCTTAAGAAGTAGCTGAAATGCCATTATAATGAAGAACGCAGGGAATATAATTTTTCAGAAAAATTGCAATTATGAATATACACAGAAAAAGTTGGTTTTAATGATTTTTAACTCTGAAAATTGTAATAATTTAAAAAAGGTGACATATTTGGGGAGAAAAAACGGAAAGTATCATTATCAGAGGGAGGTAATGTAATGTAACATGTAGGAGAGAGAGCGAGGGAGGGGAAAAGGGGGGGGGGTAGGTGTGAGAACGAACGAACGGCCTCATCGCGCGCACACCACACTTTCTTCTAAGGCTTGCGCCGCTTCCTACACAATATATACCTCTCCCTCCTCCCTTTCTTCTCTCAGCTTGACGTTCCCTTCTCCAAGAGAACACCAAGCTTCCATCTCTCTCTCTCCCTTCTCCTCTCTTTTTCCCTTTTATTTTTCCCTTTTCAACTCCTCTTCTTCTTCGGCTCGACATGCAGGCTCTTTCGTCTCACCCTTCCCATTCTCTGAACTACCTCTTCCAGACCCGCCCTTCGCCGCATCGGGCTGATCCGACCCGATTCTCCGTTAAATGCGCTTATGGCTTCGAATCTGCTGGATTTCATTCCGGCTTCATCTCCTCCAAGGCTGATTGGCAGAGCTCCTGCGCCATCTTAGCTAGTAAGGTTGTTTCTCAGCAACAACCCTCCGCCGACTCCAACGGAGGCACCGCTGACCACGTCGCCGCCATCAACGGCCACAAGGCCGCCGTCACGGATCTCAACCTCGTCCACATCGGTAACTTAGAAGGTAGCGACAGTAACAAGGCGCCTCCGCCGAAGCCGCTCACGATTTCGGATCTCTCCCCTGCTCCGATGCATGGCTCGCAGCTCCGTGTGGCTTACCAGGGTGTTCCCGGAGCATACTCCGAAGCGGCTGCCGGCAAGGCCTATCCGAACTGTGAAGCCATTCCCTGTGACCAATTCGAGGTAGCTTTCCAAGCTGTACAGCTCTGGATCGCCGATCGAGCAGTTCTTCCGGTGGAAAACTCACTCGGCGGCTCGATCCACCGGAACTACGATCTCCTCCTCCGCCACCAGCTTCACATCGTCGGGGAGGTCCAACTTCCCGTGCACCACTGCCTTCTTGCGCTGCCGGGAGTTCGAAAGGAATATCTAACCCGCGTCATCTCGCATCCGCAAGCCCTCGCGCAGTGTGAGCACTCGCTAACAAAGCTCGGCCTCAACGTGGCCCGCGAGGCCGTGGACGACACCGCCGGCGCGGCGGAATTCATCGCAACCAACAACCTGCGCGACACGGCGGCAATCGCGAGTGCACGCGCGGCCGAGCTGTACGGATTGCAGGTCTTGGCGGATGGAATCCAGGACGACCCGAGTAACGTGACCCGGTTTGTGATGCTGGCCCGGGAACCCATAATTCCGCGGACGGACAGGCCCTTCAAGACAAGCATAGTGTTCGCGCACGATAAGGGGACATCGGTACTGTTCAAGGTTCTATCGGCCTTTGCCTTCAGGAACATTAGCTTGACGAAGATTGAGTCGAGGCCTCACCGGAGCCGTCCGATTAGGGTGGTGGACGATGCGAATGTGGGGACGGCGAAGCACTTCGAGTATATGTTCTACGTTGATTTCGAAGCTTCCATGGCAGAGGTTAGGGCTCAGAATGCCCTAGCAGAGGTTCAGGAATTCACTTCCTTCTTGAGGGTGCTGGGGAGCTATCCCATGGACATGACTCCGTGGAGCCCCTCTTCTTCCCCTTGTCCCATGGGAGATTAGCAAAGTCTCTCTGCACACTAAAAATTCCCCAGAAAGTAAAGAATATAAAAATATTTCATACATCTTGCAATCTGTGAAGATTAAAACGAGAAGAGAGGTTATTACAGCTCTCTTTGACGTATTTCGATTTGTTACCCGTATATGTTTTTTGGATTCACTTAATTAATTTATGAGGAAAATTGCGAAATTCAAGTGTTGTGCGCTTGAAAGGGATCAAACTTGAGGAGTGGGGTTCTGAACACTAGAATTGTACATAGAGATGGAGAGCGTGAGGTGGTAGATTTTGGTCAAAATGTGGTAGGTAGCCACCATGCTGAAAATTCAGGGGAACGAAACGGCCCCGTTAAGTGTATTTGGTTGGTTTGATGAATATTTTTATGTTTGGGGGATCAAAAAAGTGTACATGAGAGCAGTTAGAGTTGGTTAATCATTTTATACTTCGCATTTTTATTCTTATACTCAATCATGTATTTTCCGACCAAAGCGTGTGTGTGAGTATATACATGGTACTGAGCTATGTATTGTTTTAAATTAATGCTCCATTTAGTTTTTTGTCTCTTTCTTTCAACGTTTGCCGTCTGTCTTTGTCACCACTTCTGTCTTCATATAAAAGTACTCTTAGAATTAAGGAGCACTGGCATATTCAGTGGGGAAAAGCCAGTTTGAGAGTGATCTCTCAAAGTTCGATTTAGGTGCCCAAGTGCGTCATTAAGAATTGGGAGGTGCAATTTGGTGGTTGTGTATATTTAGTGGCATCACGTTCGACTAATCATCATTTGTTGCCTTGATAATGAGCTTATTGGCTTAGAATCACCAAGATGGGTCACTAATTAATGTATCTACCTTTTCTAGTTACAAAAAAGGGGCCGTAAATATTCTTTTAAGTACTTATCCGCTAATTAAACCACCCTTCTTTACTTATGTTAGCGTAAGCCTTTTGGCATATGCATCCACCCTAATCTGGGTTTTTTTTTTTTTAGAGTTAGTGAGGTCCTTGAATGAAAATAGGTTTTTTTTAGGCCAAACTTGAACCAAAATACTCTTCCTGTCCTAAATATAATACCTTTATGTTAAAGCATAAGGGTTTTATATTTAAGATCGGATGAGTAGGTTGAATTCTATAATTCCACATGCTCCGGCCACGTAATACAAAAACGGACACCAACTTTTAGGAAAGCTCCATATACACTTGTAAATTGTGATCAAAGATGTCAAACGTATAATATATTCAGTACAAGTGAAGGGCTTTCTCTAGCTTCAAGATAGAAGGCTTAGGGAAGAAGGTTTTCTCACCAACCCAAAGTCAAGAATGATTGCCAGGGGAAGTCAAAGCTTGAAAATTTAGACTCTCTTCCAAGGCTTGGTCTTCGTTTCTTAGTTGCACCAACCCTTTTCTTTAACTTTTTAATACCCTTCTTCTTCAAACCTAGTGAAGACACATCAATTTCTTCAAAATCCCTTCTTATACAGAGGATTCATCAAATTCAATCCATCCTCTTTTCATGAAGTGCCTTGATGGACATTGCAGGTTGTTAATTATTTTGGACGTGTCGTGATGAGCGGGGCTAAGCGTTAACTTAGGATTTTCTGTTTAATATTATATTGTTTTACAGTGATCAGACTTTACATAATTCAAATAATCACATCTCCCTGTCTATATCTCCTTCGTGTAGGCAAAATCAAAATGTATAGGGATATAAAAAGTTAGGCAACTACCCCACAGTATAAAAAAGTTGATGAGAAATAACAAAGTTATGCACATAATTTAGTGATTTATGTAGGGATCAATGACAATATATGCTATAATAAAGCAAAACATAAGATTGATGTTGTAAAGTTGTTATAATTTAATGGGGTTATTTGTATATTAAGTTTGACAAAAATTACACAGAAAGTATTTTTAAATTTACTTTAAAAATACGGAGAAAGCAATCCAGAAAAAGAAGAACAGAATGTGGGGAAGAATACAAAAAGGAAGAGATAATGACGTATATAGATGGAGGATGAGGATTTTGACGAAGTTACTAATTATGCTTAAAATAATACGAAGGTGATGATTAAGCAAACATAATAGCGTATGATGGAAGATAATTATATCAAACTAAGAGAAAGAGGGTTTGGTGAGGAAGGGAAGAGCGTGAAAATGAGCCGGGCTGTGGTGTGGTAGGTGTGTATGGTAAGATATTAATATATTATGTTGGATACGATACCCCAAAAAAAAAAGATACTATTTAATAAGAAAAAATGTATAATATAACAATTTTCTTTAATAAATTATGAAGTCGGGTCTCTTAAATTATTACATTAATTAATGATTTAAACCGGGAGGATTATTCAAGCAGGGTAGTACATATTATAATTTTAACAAAATATATTTCATCTATTCTATTTGTGAATATACGTAAATACTAGAGAGCGTGTAATTCGCTTGGGGTGATTTCAGGAATAGTAAAATTTGAGGACAAAATTGGAAAGAGTGGGTGCCCACAGAAGAAGGATATTTTAAGCGTGGCTGAGGGTTGTTGGAGACGAAGAACGTCAGTAGCTTCCGTTTGGAAAAAATTTCGATGTCACCTTTTGGAGTTTTTTAAGAGAATTGGACAGTTGGTGTCACTGAAATCAACCCATCAAAATGACATTTATAAGCAAATATTAAACAAAGTGTTAAATTAAAAAGCTAAAAAGCCAATTCCTCGCAGATTTCACGCTTCAAATTGATTACATCAACAGTTAAACTGGTGACATAATTAATAAATAAATAATGGTGTCATATATAATATTGGTAAAAAAATTGAAGTATCAACTTATTATTACGCAACTTTAAAATAAACTTAAATTGGCCTTTCGTTTTATTCAAATATTAATGTATATTTTATTTTTACTTCTTTTAAAAAGAAAATAAACTTACAAGAGAGAATGATGGGTCCAAGTTCCTCGCCTTCAATTTTTGAATTATAACTATTTATTCAAATAATAAGCATTTGGTTGAACTTTGTAATGTTTAGCATCTCTTTAGATTTTGTTTATGTGTGAGTTTGCATGTTTGACCCTCTATGACTATTAGAATGTTTGGATGGAAGTCAAATTATGATTTTAAAAGTATTTTTACGGTATATAAAATAAATATTTGGAGGAGTCTGTCTCGTTTTGTGAAAAAGTGCTTTTGAAAATCATTTTTTCATCTTGCCAAACACCCCCTATATTAGGTACCAGGTAAGTGAGTCTGCTCAATGGGACAAGGATTAAAAATCACTATTAAACAAATTAACAAGAACAGCATATTTGAATAGCAATTTAGTATTTATTACGGTTCTGTCATAATCAAAAAGCAAATTACATGGTTAGCCTGATCAACAAAATTGAGGTGAACAAAGCCAAGCCAGAAAAATATAATTTGAATAAAAAATAGTAGTTCTAATCTTTCCATACTTACTAGGTTAACAAAGCAAATGAATAGAATGGTGGTTTGTTTAGAATGGTTTTTAAAAAATGTTTCAACTGTTATTTATAAAATACGAAGTAAATATACGAAGAAAGTTTTGTACCGTCTTATATAAAAATGCTCAGCACCTTTAAATCACAGCTAGAAGCTCTAAAATGATAATTTTGTTTGAAAGACACTCTAATTTTCTGATGCCGTCCCATTCAATCCGGGTGTTAAATCATTACTCATAAGGCAAACGCTTGAATGTGTGGAAGAAACACCATTGAAAGGGAAATCTTTTCGGGTGCATCTTTCATGGAAATTGCATTGAAAAGCATCTTCTTCGCTTTCACAATTACTTAGTCTCTTTTCGTGGAAGATATCATATTTGCTCTTTCACACACTGTGTGTGTGTGTGTTTTTTTACCATTTCCACGTAACCTCCTCCGGCATTTCCATGAAAGACTCCTCCAGGTTCATGCACTTTTATTGTTTTCATATTTGATTGAAGGGTGGAAATAAAGTGAGATTTAATTTTGTTGATGTGGGGGGCAAGATATGAGATGCGGAGTGGTTAAGGTCGGAGACACGAAGAGTGGGACCCCGTGTAATGATGATGAAAATGACTTCTCTGTTTTTGTTAGATTAAGATACATACATATAAAGGGAAATTATCAAGAGATGTTAAAGGAAAAAAATTTAATTATTAAAAAAATTTCAGTAATGAATGATCAATCTGAATTTTTTGTTATTCGCTATCTTCAAATTTGTCGTTGTTTATTCTTATTCTTCACCTGTCAATAAATTTTATGATAATTAATTTCTTTTTTTAAGATTTGAGTGCAATTCTCCTTATATTTAATTGTGTTGTTGTTACTGTTATTACTATTACCATTACTATCATCATTATATATGAGATAAAATTGACAAAAATATAAGGAAAATCATACTGATTCATAACAATGTTTTCTTCAGCTCATAATAAAACTTGCGGGAAAACTCTAAATGAAATTTTTTGATGCAGACATAAAATTTTTATACGGTATGATTTATTATTTTATTTCAGCTTTTGTTTTTTTTATGAAACATCAGGGTATTCATCGGTGGACCCGGTGACTAATCCATTCGTTGGCTTGTAGACATCTCGATGGGTAGGACAGCTGGCCCGGAGTTTTAAAGCTTTTCCATGTCCAAGGTAAGAATCGAACCCTCGACACTTGGTATTTTATTTCAGCTTTAATAACATCTTGATATTATTTTTCGGATACATCTAACATATTAATATTGTTTATGGTGTATCAGCATTCTGATGTTATTTTTTGGGTGATTTTAACACCCTCTAATATTATTTTTCCATTACATCTATCATTCTAAGAATACATCATAAACAAGATTATAACGCTGAAAACACTATAAAAAAAAAAATTATTGGGATACTAAATACGGCATAAATAAGAGATATCCGATAAAAAATAGATGAAAGAGTGACACGTGAGGGGCAGTCATTACAATGTGTAATCACGAGAAAGTGGGTTCAATGAGTGTGAATTGTGAAACTTCTCATTGCCTGGACGCAGTGCTGCGGTGGTTGTGAACGAACTTAATGAAAGGGAAAGGACGTCACTACATGCCATCACTGAATTAATTATTAATTATTATCTCTGATTTTTAATATAAAATCTTGTTTAATTTTTGTTTTAATTCTAAATAAAATATTTTAATCTACTCTTTCTCTCATATTTATACATTTTTTCTTAAGGTGATCTTTCTAATAATGATAGTTCTAACCAATATACTTGATTAACAACAATATTTTAGAAAAAAGTACATATTTATTATAAATAACTAATTTAACTTATTTTCTTAATTTTTTTAAATTAGTCAACTAACTCTTATATTAGGACCGGAGTAGTAATTCATAAGAAAAACGCAATTAATGTTAAACCACCATGTGAGCCTCACCCAGAAACTCGCAGAACTTGACGATTCATATTTCATGCCATTTAGTACTATAATTCATGCCCATATTTCCCCCACCATATAAATGACAAAAATAATAATGCTGCTGCTGGGTGGTCCCTCCCGCAACAAAACAAACATCGAATATACCACGAACACTTGAATGACACTGTAATTTGATAATAACATGAAAAATTATCCGCAAGTGGGATTTTACAGGTTTCGATCTTAGAACCTCATGCTGTTAATGACCGTCATTGTAAATGGTTTAAAAAAAAATTGGCATGAACGATCAGTGCTATCATTATTTAAATACTCCTCCGGTCCTAATTATAAGACTCAATTGACTTATTTGAGAAGATTAAGGAAGTAAGTTAAGTTGGTTATTTATAATAAATAAATGTTGTCATTCCTAAAATATCCTTGCTAATTAAGTATATTGACTAAAACTATCGTTATTAGAAGGATTATCTTGGAAAAAAATGCATAAATATAAGAGACAAAATGGATTGGAGTCTTATAATTGAACCAAATAAAAAGTCAACTGGGGTTTTATAATAAGGACCGGAGGAGTAATATAAAACAGGTTTTACGTTTAGAGAATCAGGGGAGTAAATTAATTAAAAACTTGCACTCCACATGTCAAAGAACTAATTTTTTCTGTTCGGTGGCCCTGATCCATTTTTCCGGAGGAGGAAAGAAGGAGGGAGGCCCACAAGAGTGGTCCAGAAAATCAGTTGAGATCGTCCATTACGTGGACCCATTGGGTTGAGGACAACCTAAAGTGGGCCTCCATCTCACCGGTGGCGGTGAAGTCAAAGCCCAAATCAGTTTCGCGTCCCCCTCTCCTTTCATTCCGATTTGTTTTGTCTTCGTAAATTTTGCTAATGCTAAACCCACCAGTGTCGTAGAGGCCGAGACAACCACGGATCATACTTTTTGAAGGGCGAAAAAAAAAGAAGAGAAATTAATTTACAGATTCTTCTAATTTATCTTGATTTTGAATTAGGTCCCTCAACTTTTTTCCTTTTTACTGGATCTTTCGACTTTTTATTGCTAAACTTGTTAGTCCTTAGCTTCAAATGCATATTGACACCGTTAAAAATTTAGCTTAGATGCTCATGCTTGAGCAGAGCCTCCTCTCTTTTTTGCTCATTGCTCAATTTCCTTCCAAACATTCTCCCCACTTGAAAGTGACTTGCCATCCCTTCACACCCTGACTTTTAAATCCAATGATCTCTTGTGATTTTGAGGAAGAGGTTACTGTGGCTTAATTCCAAGTTTTGTTGAACATAACTCACATGCATTATACATACCCTAATCCGCAAACAGGACACACATCTTCTTTGTTTTTGCTTGCTACGTGTATATTATATATATTTAATACCCAAAAGTTAAAAACGATGGGTGAAATAAAAGGATGAATGTTGGCTTTGGAGCACACACATGCGGCAGTAAACATGGTTGGTGGTCTGCCAATTAGAGCATACTCGGTTACCGTTGAAGTTCCCAGCGATAGCCACTGTTGATGGTGGCTCTGTTTTTTGTGTTGTAGACAGAGTTAAACAGAGTCTTTTAATTAATGAAAGTTCTTATCCCATCACTCAATAAGACCAATTCTTGTGGCGAACGAGACCCGCAAGCGAAAGCAGGAGGCGATCAAATGAGCCTAACCAAACACGTGATGTTTTCCATAGGTTGTGGATCTTCTGTATTACTTTTTATTTCACTCCTTAAAGACATCGGGGTTAGGAAGTTGAGCCCCCAACCAAGAACCAGGGGAATAGGTAAAGTAGTCTGGGTGACTGTGATTAAAGGAAGGGAAGGTTTTATGCAGAGGTGGGAAGTAACGGCGAGCCATTTTCAAATAGGAAGAATGTTGGGGGAAGAGATGATGCTGAACACGGAGCAAAAAGGAGGGGAGAGCTTAGTCAGGCCTGAGCGTCTAAGCTAGATATTTGACGGTGTCAATATGTATTTAACGGTAAGAACTAATAAATTTAATAATAAAAAGTTAAAGAATCCAATAAAGAATTAAAAAAATTGAGGGATCTAATTCAAAATCAAGATAAATTAGAAGGATTTGCAAATTAATTTTTCAAAAAAAAAAAACAAAAGAAAATCAGTACCATAATATCAATATTAAATGTTAAATATATAAAGCTAAGTAAATAGATTATATTTTTGCCCACTTAAATTAAACAAGTTGTTTTGACCAAAACCAACAAGTTGATTTTTTTATTTGTTACTACCTCCGGTCCTAATTATAAGAGCCAGTTGACTAATTTGAGGAAATTAAGAAAAAGTTAAGTTAGTTATTTGTAATAAATATGTATTGTTTTTCCTAAAATATCCTTACTAATCAAGTATATTAGCTAAAACTATAATTATTAGAATGACTATCTTGGAAAAAATTGAGTAAATGTGAGAGACAAAATGGATTGGGGTCTTATATTTAGGACCAACATAAAAATCAAATAGAGTCTTATATTAAGGACCAGAGGTAGTATTTTTTTATACATTGTTTTTTTTTGGGGGGGGTGGATATGAAATTTTTACCCCCATCTATGCCTACAGAAGTGAGAAATTCAATGGCACGACCGTAAATTTGACTTCTTCAAATAATCACTCGACAGTGATTTGGCGCATTCCATGATATCAGAATGATTCAATTCCCTCCTCCCGAGTGGTCCAAAGAGGAACTTTAAAAAAGGCCCCTTTTCTCGCACGTGAAACCAGCACAATACTGAAGAAGTGTATATTATTGTACCCAAAAGAAAAAAAGAAGAAGTGCGTATAATTTCCCCGCCCATTTGTATATTATTTTCCCCCTAGTTTGGATATTTTTACCTCTTTAAAGAACATAAGATATAAATAAACACATAACTTTTTTTGGCCTGAATAAATGAAGACATAACGGAGTCCTTTAAGTTTTAACTTCCACCAGTTAAAAATTAAGATTAAAAACAAAATAAACTTTATATGTACTACGTATAATGTGTGAAACTAACAACATTCTCCATAGCTCGTGGATAATAGGATTTGTTAATGTTTTATAGTAATAGTAGTATTTTTTTTCCCATACATGAGCTTGCTTTTTATTGCAATCAGTTATGGATTCCTCATTAATTTCCTCGATTGGTTTCTTTCCACTAAATTCTTTCGGATATCTGCATCCAAAATCCACAAAGTGAAGATGATAAGAATGCTGCTTTCACTTTTCAGCATGAGAAAGCACCAAAAAAAAAAAAAGAATACCACCCAACTCTTTTTTTAAACAAAAATAATATCTTTTTTTCTGGCCATAAGAAGAGGAGCACGCAGAATTTGCTTTACTTGCCCTCCATAGATGCATTTTTACCACATTTACATATTTCTTCGCATCGAATTTCGTAAAAGCCAGAAAAAGCAAAAGCAAGCTGTCATAAAGGGCGTTTTATTTTTCCACAAAAAAGAATATTCCCTCTACATATTTGTTGGGAAAATAATAATTTAAATATGGAAAGGGCGATGACTTCAATTCACCCCATTTGAAAATTATAAAAGATCAAACCAAAAATAACTAAAAATTAAGTAAAATTATTTTTTTCCAAAGTATTCAATACAATAATGATAATAATAATAGGCTTCATTTAAAAAAAATAAAGAAAGAAATTTGAAAAGGAAAGGCGGGGACCCACACACGTGGGATTGGAGTCATGACGATTGAGGAGGGCGGAGGAAAATCCAGAAAAGCAGCAGACTGGGGAGTCAACAAGACTTGTCCATTCCGCTGTTCACCAATTCAACTTCAATTCTCATTTCACTCCTCACACCATTCTAAAAAGATTAATGCTTTTCATATTCCAATCCTCAATTTTGATTTCTTCTGACTCTATCCCCAAACATTAAATAAATAAATGGCGACTCCCAATCCCACCCCAACGGCAATATATCCAAATCACAATCACAATGCTTCCTTCTTTTAATATCCCCCACCCATTCTTTAATTAATTTAATCACAACCAAACCACAAATAGCAGACCCCCAACTCCCCAGTGCCCTGCCCATTATCACCTTCCCTTTTCTCCATATATCTTTTGTCTTCTTTACGTATCTCACTCACACATCATATCTCATACTCTTTCACACGCAATTTCGTTAGCTGCTTTTCAATGCATTATATTTCGCTGTCCTTTCCTGTCCTCTTCTTTCCTCTTTCCCTGTATTAACAGTAACACAAAGTGTTCCGTTCTTTGCAGGGTGTTTGAAATACACTACAAGTATTTGTTTTTACACCAACTGATATAAATTTTTTCTCATATAAAACAAACACTTTTCTACCTCGCACGTGCTTATTTTCACTTCCCCTGTCCCTTTAAACTTCATCTTCCAAACTCTCTCTCTCTCTTAGAGGCACAAACGCAGAGATTTGAGAAAACATGAAGCCAAGTTTTCACCCCGCTGCTCTACTCCTCTTCATTCTCTTCCTTGTATCCTCCTCCTACGGCTTATCTGCTCGTTTATCAACTACCCAAAAAGGTCAGCAAAGTACACGGTTCCCCCCCTCCCCCGGTTTAGTTAGTTAATTATCCCTATGTACGCTCTTGAAATGTGATGTTTGGAAATTATATCGTGAACATGGTTTCTGCAGGGCTGAGTATGAAGTCTCTTAAAGTGTCGGGGGAGAACTCTGTGTCGGCGTTAGAAGGCAGTGAGCCCATAGCAGTAAGCAATTACTGTATATAAATCCATCGTTTCTTCTTTACAGATGAATGTGGCATGGCCAGTTACGGTGATTTTTGTGCTGGATTAATGTTGTTGCAGAAGTTGATGGGGATGGAGGATTGCAATGGTGGAGATGAAGAGTGCTTGGAGAGAAGGATGACTATGGAAGCTCACCTAGACTATATCTACACGCAGCACCATAAGCACTGAAATTGAGTAAGCTTGAGAGTGGATCAACTTAATAAGCTAAGCTGGCTACAGATCTATGATATAATAATTGCTTGCCAAAAGTGGCATCATCGTTGTTATTATATATATGAACAGCTATTTGGTGTTTCTCATCTACGATATGAAGATTATATTGGGTGAAAAACAGCTAGGCGAAAGCCTTTACGTGTGCCTTTCTAAGGTCCTGCGAAATTGTTTCTAAGCTACTTTCTAGGAGTAAACTTAATTAGGAGAGAAAAGCTTGTAAGAGAGAGATTAATTAATTTCTGCCAGATGCTAAACATGACTGAGAATTTGTGCACGAGAACTGTCAGATGCACATATATAGCAGAGTTCCGCCAAATAATTTACTTGATGTAGGTTTCAGCGGTAAAAAAATCGTTTGTTCGCAGACAAATAACTTTGGTTTTTTGTTTTTTTAAATATATTTTATATTGTATGTATTGATATACAGATATATTGAGCGAGACATGACCGAAAACTAAGAGAAAGAAAGAACAAGAATGACAAGTGCAGAATTAAGTGAAGAGAAGGAGACAATGATGATCTGACTGAGAACAAGCGAAGAAACACGCACAAGAATCCATTCTGTCAAAAGAAGCATGACTGGCAATGAATATCGTAAATTGTTTGGAGCATTTCCAACTCTGGGTTTGAAAAACAAGCAGAAGAAGAAAAGCATCTTGAAACTCAACCTCTTGCTTGGATAAGTGTGCCCACAAGCACTTTCACACAAGCCTACGTTTCACGTAGTTAACTCGTATTTCATAAATCAGTATTAAAAAACTAGTCCAATTGAATTAAAACTATGGAGATGGCGGCATGGGAGGGTGTTATTTTTAAGTCGTACCAGCATTTGACTAGACTAACTAGGCCTGTCTGTGACGTGTTGAAGAGCATAGGATGGGTCGATAAGACTTGCCGTGAGAGACAGGTAGATGCTTGGCTCTAAATGGTAAAGCAGACTAATAAAATAACACGTGAAGTCAGAAGTCAGAACTCCGCAGTGGTGGAGCAGCCATTGGACTTAAGATACGTGTTGGGCTCTCTCGGACTCTCTGGCCTCTTATCCTCCTTATTGGGCTTTCCTCCTCCTCATCACCTAGACCTCTCCCGACCCCGACCCAACCCTTGTTCGTTAGGACCTGCTGAATCCTTCCATGATTATTATTCTAGAATTAATTACTCTTCCGATTTTTAATATAAAATCTATTTAATTAATTTGATTAGATTAAGGAAGTTAGATAAGTTATTTAATTATAAGAAATGTGACACGTTTTTCCCAAAACACCATAATCATCTTTCTTAATACTCCTTCTCTCTCTTCTACTTGATTATGGTTGAGAGAGTATTCATAGAGATAATTTAGAAAAAATTGATAAATATAAGAAATAGATTTTATATTTAGAACAAAAAATAACTCAATAATTGGGTTCTATATTAAGGGCCAGAGGAGTAGTACCTCTTATCCTAATTATAAGAGTTAGTTAATTAATTTAAAGAAATTAAAGAAAGAAGTTAAGTTAGTTATTTGTAATAAATATGTATTATCTTCTTTACAATATTCTTGCTAATCAAGTTTATTGGTTAGAATTGTCATTGTTAGAAGGACTACTTTGAGAAAAAATATATAAATATAATAGACAAAATAAATTAGAGTCTTATATTTAAAATCAAAATAAAACCCAAACAAAATCTTATATTAAGTATCAGGTGTAGGACTTTTCACAGTTAGGATCCAGGGAGTAAACTAAATCCCAAGCCTACATCATTCGGAAGTAGAATCTGCAAATATAACGTTGGAGCCATCTGTAAGCTTAAAAATTAAAATATCTGAGACTTTACGGGGTGCGATTAAAACTGAAAAGTAACTTGAAGCCGCACACTTGGCCCCAAACCATCCCATACAAGAGAAAGCAAGAATTTTTATTGGTTGGTCAAAAAAGCAACAATTGTTATGTGTTGCCACGTATTCTATGACGCGGGCGACTAGTACGCCACGTCATCCACTGTCCAAGCTAAAAGAACTAAGAAAAGGCGGTTCGAAATGCCAACAAAAATATTACTTTTTAATTTACAGAAGGGAAAAGCATGAGAGAGCCGGAGAGGCGATTTGGTTGGAAAAGCCCAAAGGCTAATTTATGAGTCATGGTCGTAAAGTCATAGCTCTGGTTTGTCCCTCTGCTTTTGCTCCATCCTCAGCTCGCTAACCTGCCCCGATCATCGCGTGCTCCAATGGGTCCAGTCCAGTAGAGTGCAGAAGGCAGCTGAAGAACGACGGCTTTCCGTTTAAGGCCTCAAGCAAGCATGGCTTCCTACCCGGTACGCAATTCTTGCTCCCCCCATGGCTATTCCAAGGCTCAAATGTGCTTCTTCAAGATTCTACGAGTGATTTCATCCGTCCCTCCTTGTCAACAACAACCTCTTCTTACTCCAAAACACGATCCCTCCAACTCTTCTCCGAGCACCAGAGGGAGTGATGTTGATTCCAATCTCCAATTCGGCGCCGCAGAATTCCAGTGCTCTGCGAGCGATTCCTCCGGCGTTGAAGAAACCAACGGCGGTCACGACAGTGCGGATGTCTCCGGTACCAAGGAGACGGGTTTCAGGGAGCCGATCAGCGAGGATCCAGGAGGGAAAGAACCCGAGGAAGAAGCGCGTGAAACGGTGCCGTTTGGAGGGAATAGAAGGGCGAGTTATGATAACTGCTTGGACTTGCTGATCGAAGCCGCGAAACTAGTGCTTGAGGAACCGAGTGGAGAGATGGGACCGGGTTCCGAGTTAAGAACTGGGAGCAGGAACAGAGAAGAGCAGCGGGAGCAGAGATGGGTGGTTGCGGATTTATGTAAGGAAGTGAACGACACGACGCCGGTGGTGAGGTCGAAGAGAGGGAGGAGCCAGGCGTTGCCGTTTAGGTTCCGAGACTCGGTGGTGGAGCCGCTGAGACGCTCGGGCGCCGCAAGAGCTCCCAAGAAACGATTCCTCGGGGCGTGAGCGATCACATAAAACGGCATGGCGTCTGGGTTAAGGTATTTGTGTAGAAATGGCAATGGCAGATAGATTGCTTAGGCTTAGAATTGTGGAGGAAGATGGTAGTATGTGACTGTGACGTTGTCGTAACCAGTGGAAGAAGATATGAATATAGCTATAGACATATTTCTATGAATATATGCTGGTGTGTGTTTTTAATATAGTATTGGTTTGTAGGGAACCAAGGAAATAAATGAATAGATTCCAGTCATAAAGGCAGAAAAGGCTTTAAGAGAAAACTACTGACTTGGTAGTTGGTAATAATAGAATAGAAGAATGCGAGCGAAAGCTGATGCCCATCACCCCCTTGTCTCCATGAAGCATTCGAGGCAGCCTCTTTCAAGAAACAGGGTAGTGAAACACTCCTAGCTAGACGAGGCTTTGGACGCAAAGATTTGGGTTTGAATTTTATATTATTACCTCCGGTTATTAATTTAAAACCTTATTTGACTTTTGTTTTGGTTATGATTATGAGATCCGAATCTATTTTATTTATCATATTTATACATTTTCTCTCTCAAAGTAGTCATTCTAATAATGGTAGTTCTAGTTAATAAACCTGACTAGTAAGGATATTTTATGAAAGACAACACATATTTATTACAAATAACTAACTTAACTTATTTCTTTAATCTCTTCAAGTTAGTCAACTAGCTTTTATAATTATGACCGGAAGTAGTATTATAAATCTCATATTTAAAATTCGTCGCTCAGGCCACATCAATAAAAAATGAGTTGTCCTGTGGGGCTTCTTCATATGTTTTGGTACTACTATGAGGAGTGGTGACTGGAATTTGAAATAATTCTAGTGATAAATTACATACTCCTCCGGTCTTTAATATAGACTCAATTCTTGAATTAGTTTTGGTCCTAAATATAAGACTCATTTTCATATTTATTAATTTTTCCTAAATTATCCCTATAGATACTCCATTAATTATAATCAAGTAGAAGATGGAAGTATTAAAAAAGATGATTATGGTGTTTTGGAAAAAATGTGTTATTTTTCTTATAATTAACTAACTTACCTAACTTCCTTAATCTAATCAAATAGTTAAATGGGTCTTATATTAAGGATCGGAGGAGTATTTAAACTATTAAATAAATTATGATAAAAATTTTACTTTCCAAATCCATGTGATTTTATGTGTCTGAATAACGAATCGAGTTCAAATTCAAATCCTAATTCAAACATAACATGAACGAACGAGGTTGGCTACGACGCTGGTATGTTGAGAGATGCTGTCTTTTGCATGGCAGTTTGACGTTTGTAAATGACATGCCTTTCTATAAATTTCATGACGCACTTTTCATTTATATACTAATGACATTCAATTTAAATATTCCGGTCCTTTTATAAGACCCAATTGACTTTTATGGTCCTAATTATAAGACCTAATCCATTTTGTCTCTTATATTTATGCATTTTTTTCCAAGATAATCCTTCTAATAATGATAGTTTTAGCCAATAACTTAATTAGCAAGGATTTTTAGGAATGACAACACTTATTTATTATAAATAACCAACTTAACTTACTTCCTAATCTCCTCAAATAAGTCAATTGGGTCTTATAATTAGGACCAGAGTGAGTACTTAACTAATTGTCATTTTATGACATGAAGTTTTCTGTGACAAAAACTAAAGATATTAATTAATGTAGGAGGTTAATTATGCGAAATAATTCAAACAATTCTTTTAAAAATTAACTGCTTTAAGTGAAAAGGCCACGCAACGGAGGCACCATCCTCCCATGTAAGTTCTGAGAAGTACTTTGTTTCTGTAACCGGTAAGCAACTAATTAAACTTTAGATTTGTCACACACATACAGGTTTATACAGAACCTGCTGGTCAAAAATAAAAATATAACACAACCTTTTGCAAGGGCTAATGCTCATAGGCTGGTTTTATATAACATCGTACTATTCCCCTAAATTTCCAAACTATAAGTCTGATCTGGACAATAGAATAACGTAATTTCATCCCAAGAAAGAAGAGTGCAAAAAAAAAAAAAAATCTTCCTTCTTCCACTGTTTCAATGCTCTGTTGTCCTTAACAATCCAGGACAACATATTTACATTCTTATATTTAATACTAGCGGGGTAAAATTAAACATTCTTATGTTTTACTTCCAGAGTCGATTGAATCAGTTGCAGTTGCAGTTGCAGTGCAGGTCTAGAAAAATCCAGAAAGCATGCCATGATAAATTTATATTTATTGTTGGTTTAAAATAATCAGGTATCATTTCCCAAAGTTTTTTCAGAGCAAAATTTATTTCATATCAATTTCGATATCAGATAGAGTACTACAATATTAATAACCTATGCATCAGTGAACAAGGGGCGCTAAATTATGGAGGGAGAAGAATGGCCTGATTTTTGCCTTTGGGGACACGGCTTAAACGACAGTTGATGAAGCGCCGTTCAATTCGAGAAGTCGAATATGGGTATGCGTCGTTTAACACCGAGCTGGGTGATAAACGTAAGAGTTCAAAACCGAAACCCTCTCAATCTCGTACCCAGGCCTTCACTTCGGAAGTGTCGCTGACTCTACTTGGTCTCACTCACCTTATCTGCTTCTTTCGCAGCTACTGCCACTGACGGGACATGGCAAACGGAGGCTCTGCTGATAATGCCACTGAGTCACAACGAGAAGAAGCCAAGACAACTGACCGGCAGCAAGCCTCAAATGCCCCCTTATCCTCTTCCGAAGACTCTGACAATGATTCGGACGCGGAGTCGCGGAGTCGGAGTCTTCCTATGACTCTTCCTACGAAGGAGATTATGAGGAAGGAAATGACGTTCGCGACGCTCTGGCCTACCGGCGATCCCGCGAGGAATTAGCCCAATTGGAGAACACTCCTGAGGCGAACTTCGAGCTGTTCTCGGAAGTCCTCGACAGCAAGCGATTGAAGAGCATGCACGAGGAGGAGGACAAAGAGATTTTGGGCACAGTCTGACCCTTTGATTTCCCCAAAGACCCAGAGAATTGGAAGGGAAGAAGACTTGGGGAGTTTTGGGGGTGGATGGTCCATTGGGATTGGGGAACGGGTTGGGACCCGGTTTTTGGGCAGATGAAGAGGATTGGGATACGTGCGGGGAGGAGCTTGCTGCCGGAAGGAAACCACCCATTGCCCCATTTTATGTGCCATTCCGGAAGTACAATCCTGCGATACCCGATAACCATTTCGACATATCTACCCCCAAGGCCGTCGTAATTGAAGAGTTGGATAGGATTGAGGAATTCCTCCAATGGGTCAGCTACATTTTTCCTGATGGCAGCTCGTATGTATAATTTTCACCTGTAACTTACCATTTACTGAGTATGTTGTGGAAGGTTTAGTGCATCAGGTCGGGAAGTGATTATCTGAATGTTTTAACTAAAAAGCTGACTAGGAGTAGTCAGTTAGTTCCATCGTTTTTTCAAGTTGCAACTTGCATGCTTCATATAATTTCGAACTTAATATTAATGTTATTTATGAATTTAAAGTGGTAGATTTTACGTCTTCCGTTTGTTTATGAATTTATTATTGATAAAACCGATTATCATCATGGAGCATTAACACTACACTTGCGTGCTAAGTCACATTACTGAATTTCTGTTTTTGTTCTAAACCTGTTTACACAGTAAGCTAAAGACGTTTTTGGAGACGTTGCATGTGTTCATATTTATAAGCTAATACTATCGATTGAAATTTTCTCTAATTGGGTTACTGTTATTAGTATGGTACCGTCAGAGTCGTTGAGTGGTTGAGTTATTTTGCTTTTATGACGTCAGCATTACCATATGACGCTTGACACTTGCTACATTTTATTTTCCCATGGTAAACTGGATGGGAGGTGACTATGTGATCAGTAGCATGCTATTACATTTAACAAACCTGTCAGCCTTTTGGTCTGTCTCCATGAATTTCTGATTGCACTCGTTCGAAATGTTAGGGTTGTGTTAATTAATGCTTCTCAAATTCATGGGTTATATCATTACCTCTGATGCTATTTTGATACTCCCCCCCTCTTAACTTCCATATTTCTTAACCCAGAATATTCTTTTTCACCAAGGTATGAAGGCACTGTTTGGGATGATAATGCTCATGGAAAAGGTGTTATGTTTCTCCAGAGGGGCTAGTCAGGTTTGTCTTTACTTCATTATGTCTGCTGTTCCATTTTGTATATTGAACAGCCTCGGTGTTGGTATGAGCCTAGCCATCATCCTGGCGAGAATGCTTCCAATCTCCTGGATTACTGTGAAAACATAGTATATAACTGTTGTTCTTATTGGCTATAACAGATTTTATGAAGTTATTATGCATAGCAAGATGCAATAAATATTTATCTTTCCTGAAGATATATCTTATCTTTCATTCGTATTTTATCATCCATAGGGTAAGGCTGATTGCCAATACATTCCACTTGTGTTTGTTCCAGCATGTTCTGGCTATCATTGGCTGTATCAGCTTATTATCCAATATCCATTAATCTATCCAAATATCTTCTGCCTTTTCATGTTGTGTAACATTTCAGAATGCCTTTTCTATTCATAGGTATGAAGGCGAATGGCTCCAAAATGACATGGAGGGTCATGGCGTCATTGAAGTTGATATTCCTGATGTTGAACTGCTCCTGGTTCCAAGTATGACACTAGCATCTAGACTTGTCAATAAGTTTCACGATGCATCACAGGTCGAATAAACCTATGAAATTATTTTATTTGATGGGAGCAACATTAATTTTAAAACAATGAAGCGGAGAGAAGGCTCACTCAACCATAAAGTGAGAGGGTTCCTACTTAATCTAAAAGACTTTGCTCTTAAAATAGGATTACTCTATCATATCAAAATTGAAAACTTAAACTAGCCTTGTCTTAATCAAAACAGAGCATTTTAGCTAATCCTAAATCCATGGAAGTATTGTTCAACCATTTAAAGAATTACTTAGACTAAGTGCGTTTTAATTAAAAAAGCAATAAAAGAAAAGAAAACTTGTTAATTAAAATATATGCATAATAACATGTAATCTCCAACATCTTCCGCTTAGTAGGCATTTCCAACTTTGAGCTGTTCTTCTAGCATTGCCAATTGTCAGCAACAGCTTATTTTGTTGATACTGTTGGCTGATTTTACTCATGTCCTTAGGCTTGAAGCGAAGATGCGTGCTGAAGGGAAGATTATATCAAGGGATTATATGTCCCCTGAAGACAGAGAATGGCTTGAGATGGATATTGAAGATAGTTATAATCTTGCTGATGGGACCTATGAAATTCCATTTTATGATAATGATGAATGGGTGAACAATTTGGAAGAAAACCGTAAGTTTTATTAGTTAGCTCTTTGTTGCCTGTTGTTACTAAGCATTGTTTTCCCTCAGTTTTAGAAAGAGCGATGTTGTAAGTTCTCACTGAGCATCACATTCT